CTGTTAGCCAAAAGGTTAAAAAAAGTAGGGAAAACAGCGCAAATCGACTAGGCGAATCCAGTAAAGACGGCGGAAATAGCCGTTCTTACTGCCAAGATCGAAGTGCTAGAGAAAGAGTTAAGAACAACAAAAGAAACGCAACAAGTGCTCCTGTGTCGAACGAAGCATGTATTGTTGCATAATATCCCGGAGCCTATCATACGGGATAGTAAGATTAGGCATGAAGCCGATATGAGGCATTTCCAGGACATGTTCAGACTAACAGGCCTTCCCCCCACAACACGTTACGTGAAGAGTCACCGTGTCGGTCTTTGGAGGGAGTTTACAGCTCAGAAGCCGAGACCCATATTAGTGGTTTTCAGTATCACGTATATGAGAGACCTGGTGATTGTAAAAGCAACCAGGATAGAGATAAACACCAGAAGAGCTGTACGAATAACTCCGGACGACGGGACCAGTAACAAACCGGTCACGAACGAGTATACCATCACGGGGAAGGCAACCCGCAAGGAACCCCAGTTAGTAATAAAAAAAGGAGAGCATATAGACGGTGGGGCGAAACCCAATCCTCGCCTGTATGATAAACAGGCAAAGCAGGACGGGACGCACTCAGCGGTGAGACCGTTGAGCAAATCCACACAGCACACGGTGAGGCCTGGGGGAAACGCCATCAGGAATCACCGACTAGTCGAAAGGACACCAATGGTCGCCCCACAAAAGGAGGCCATGAAAAAACCGGAAGCTAGCCAATGTCCTAGGAGTAAGAACTCCGAAGATGAATTGCCGACGGAGACCTGGGCAACTACTGTGGTAAGAACGTCAACTAAGGGACCAAGCCCGAAGAGGTCAGTGCCCCTCGTTCAGGGAGATGGTTCCATAATAAAAAACCCAGGGTTAGGTTTTGGGAAGGTCATCAACTCGACAGGGGGCATGACTTGGACGGAGATGCAGCCCCCAGGGACAAATAAGTCAAAAAACGAGTCGGTTCCTCGGGCTCCGCAAACGAGGATTCGCCGGAATTAAGGTAGGCTCACCACCCTAAGGAGGAAGAGGCTGCCAATGTGTGGTACACAAATGCCTGTAGCATTATAGCTAAGTGGGGCGAACTGGAGACTCGAATCTAAGGTTCAGTGGTCATAGCAATCACGGAAACATGGATGCAAAGGAGCACTTCACGAACTGCCCTAATAACAATTCTGTCTACAGGCAGGATAGAGAGAATGGCAGACAAGGGGGAGGAGTGTTGATCTTGGTCAAGAATAATATGAACCATTGGAATGCACAACCACCCTAGCCACACCTAATATCCAAGTCATAGCATGCAACGTGCTCTTAGGGGGGAGACCAATAAGTATAATGTATGTGCACAGAGCACCACGAGCAACATCCATAAAGGACACTGAGCTACTTGCGGTTATGAAAATGTGCCTTTCGAAGTCCCAAAGGGTTCTAATAGTTGGAGTCTTCAATCTCCCGCAGATCGACTGGGTGGAAGCGCGTGCAACGAGTGGGTCTACAGGCAAAACTCTGCTAGACT